TGGAGCGCCAGATGGAAGGCCTGGAGAATGAAAGGAAGGCCCGCCGAGAGGCGGAACTGGTAAGTTGGCAGAAGCTGGGACAAGTAACGGGAGCTCACTTCATTATGTGGCACTAGGGATTCGAACTGCTGAACTGCCAACATTTCTGATCGACAAACTCAGTGTCCTAGCCACTGAGCCACCACATCCCATTTCCTCATATTAGGTTTCCTCATATTCTGCAGTTTTAGTAAAAATGTATCTGTAGGAAGCCATCCGTGAACCACCTGTAGAAGTTGGGTTCTCCCCAGAAACGTTGAGGCATTTTTCTGGGCAAGAACTAGTAGAAAACAGTTTCTTCTATTTACCTGTTTCAACAAGGTCTGAGCGAACTCCAAGTTCTGCAGCCTTTGCCTATTGATGGCGTTGATCTCGGTGAATCTGGCAGCCAGCAGAGCTTCCTGCAAATGGAACATGGGTTCATTTTGAGGATGGTGGGAAGAATACATGTATTAAGGTTACCTCAGCTTCTTGACATTCCCCCCCCTTTTTTTTTGCTTTTAAATGTGTTTAACAATTTGCAAACTGCCCAGGGTCACTGGGACTTGGACAACACAATCAGCCAGATAGTTAAAGCTGCATTTGGCATTTTTGTTCCACCTGTTGAGTCCTTCCCAAGGACCTGGGACAGGTAGGTGTGGTTTGATGGTGTTAAAGATGTTGCAAGATGTAAGCTGTTCCAAGTAAAGCTGCCTTTTGCAATTGACTGGTGATCATTTTTTTTCCCAATGCCAACAGTGTTCCAAAGGATGCTCTAGATATTTTGGGATTGCATCCCAGGTGCCTTATCACTGTTGGTTCTACCTTGGCTCTCCTTTAGCACTTAGACTTATATACCACTTTATAGCCCTCTCTAAGTGGTTTACAGAGTCAGCCTAGGGGTGGGTTCCTGTACCAGTTGGTACCGGTTTGCTTCGTGCGAGCTTCGCTCATGTGTGCCTGCTGCACATTGCATGCACAGTTGACTGTAAATTGTCCTGCACATTCACAGAAACATGCCGGCTATGGCAGAAGAGACTGAGGAACTGGTTCGGGGGCGTGGCCAGCCTGGCTCGCTGCCTGTTCTGTGACCCAGGCCGAATCACCACAACCAGTTCAGCCAAACCGGGAGCAACCCACCTCTGAGTCAGCCTTCTGCCCCCACATTAATCTGGATCCTCATTTTACCCACCTTGGAAGGATGGAAAGCTGAGTCAACCTTGAGCCTGGGTGCAGAAGTGGGTTCCGGATCCCATCCCAACCAGTACACTGCGACGGGGCCAGGCGTACACACATGCACACCACCACCCTGCGACACTCCAGCTGCTCAGCAGAGCGTCACGCAAGCGCCATACGCTGTGTACACATGCACAAATGGCCCAGTAGGGTCAAATACCAATAAGGAGAGCGGGCAGGCGGGTGTGCCCTCCGCAGCACCGTACCGGAACAGTACCTGCTTCTCCCACCAGGCACCGGTAGGCCTGTACCGGGGCATACCGGCCGTAATCCACCACTGGCCTGGTGGGATTTGAACTGTCAAATTGCAGGCAGCCGGCAGGCAGCAGAAGTAGCCTGCAATACAGCACTCTAACCACTGTGCCACCGTGGCTCTATTTGCAGGTTCTTATATATATTATTATCATTAACATTGAAAGAAGCTTAGTCAGTCAACTCAAGGTGTTGAACGTACCTCGTACTCTGCTTCCTGTTATTCCCCATAACAACAACCTAATGAGTTGGATTGGGCTGTGAGAAAGGGCCTGGCTCAAAGTCTCACCCATTTGGCTTCCCCATCCTAGACTTTGGATGCTGTCTTTTCCCCAGCTACTGGCCAGGGGTCCTACCCTGAGCGTAGCCTGCTCTGCACCTTTGGTACAATCCCGCTAAAACATACCTCTTCTTTCACTCTAACCGCTGTGGACTGAAATCTTGGTCTCTTGTTCATGAAACCATTACGGCCGCTTTCCATATCCAAGATGGATCTCAGCTTTTCTGCCTCTAGTTCATAATCCTAGGAAGAGGAGAGAGAGAGGGTGTAACATCCAGACGATGCTGGAGGCACCTACAAAGTGCAATTCTGCAATGGGATGTGATTTTTGGGGGGGTCCTTCCTCTATGCCACTCCTTACCTTCACTGCCTGTAGATACTGCTGAGCTTCTGCAGAGACCTTCTGGACTTCTTTATCCTTGCTTGAAATTTCTTCCAAAAGTGTCTGCAAAGCAAACAAAGGCAACCACTTTGAAAGAGCCAGGAGAAAGGTGGCACCGTCTTACTTTGCATGGGAGCAGGGAAAGGGTGCTCCTTGTCTACCAAGGGCCGCCGACTTATGGGAAAAGTCAATGGCGGGCTGGAGCAGCTAATGATGGACGGAATCTTAGCCCAAAGTGACTGAACCTTGAAACTCTCCATCTCTCCTTCTTTCCAGTTCTGTAAATATTAGATCAGGGGTGAAATGCTGGTAAAAATGCTACAGGTTCACTGGAATCGGTAGTAAAAATAATGGTTCAAAAAGTAAAAAAAAAAAATTCCCACGATCCCACGGCACAGCTGATCGTTGCACAGCTGATCGTTGGAACTTCTTTTTTTACCATTTTTTTTTACTAAAAGTAAAAAATGCTCTAAAAAAGTTAAACGAAAGGGTCCGATGATCAGCTGGGACAATCACCTGTGCCGTGTGTTGTAGGAACCTTTTCCGTGTGTGCTTGAAGTCCAGCTGCTTTTTGCATTGTGTGTGAGTCAGTTGCGTAGCTTTTGTGTTTTTTTCGTGTAAGTGTGATAGTTTTGTTTCTGAGCTCTCTGTGACTCTGTGAGGATCCTGCTTGTTGCAGGGGCCATTTTGTGTGAAGTCCAGTTGCTTTTGCGTTGTGTGTGAGTCAGTTGTGTAGCTTTTGTGTTATTTTCGTGTGATAGTTTGTTTTTGAGCTCTCTGTGAGGTTCCTGCTTGTTGCCCACCCAGTCACATGGCCACTGAGCCACGCCCACAGAACTGCAATAAACTGGGTAGAATTGTGCTATATAATCTTTGCAGTCCCCCTCCCTCCCAGTTATCTGATTACCTGTTGTTTCTTCAACTTGGTTTCCACCTGAGAAAGTTGGTCATTTTCTTGAGGCTCATAGTTGGGGATGTTTTCAAAATAATGTTTTAGTCCATCATGGCCCGCACGGTAGTTTGAATAGGCAGACTTTGCTTTCTGCAGGACCTGGGATCTAGAAAGTGGTACAGATAGTTCTCAGCTTACATACATAATCGAGCTCAGAATTACAGACAAAGTCATTACAGATGTAAGTTAAGGCCATATATAACCAGATGCAATTTTTGATGTTTATTATTTTTTGCAGTGGCCGTTAAGTGAATCCATCCCCTCCCCAAATTAATATTTTTTTGCTGGAAATGCTTGAAGCCATGGGGAAAAAAATGCAATTGTGTGACCACGGGACGCAGCGAACGGCTGTAAAGGTGAGATGTTTGCCAAGCACCCCAAATATGATCATGTGATAAGTGTTGTAACTTTGAAAATGGGCCATAAGTTGCTTTTTNAAAAATAAGTCTAATAATTTGAACATTCTATAGGCATTTATAGTTATTGACTTACTTTCTTGCAGCAAACAGCCTGATTAGCACAAGAAAAAAAATCTGCCTCCCAGCAATTTGCCATGTGGAAGCAAACAGCTAGTTTCACTTTCAATTTCTCCATCATCAGCTGTTAGAGGCCGCAGGGGTTGCTATAGCTTATTGAAGCCCCCTTTGCTGTAAAGAGGTAAATTGCTGGAAGGCAGAGGCCAAAGGGTGGGGACCAGTGGGTGGGTGGGGCTACATTCAGCGTATAAGACGCACCCAAATATTCACACTCTTTTAGGGGGGCGGACTCCAAACTGTAGTTTTGTAACTCCTTAAAATAAGAGATGTAAAGGAAACAATGGGCACAGTTCTTGGTATTAGAAATGGTTACATTCAAAAACCAGAACATTGGTCAGTTCCCCCAAAATCCCAAGAGCCTCCATTATTCAAGAATTAAAAAAAATCTTATTGCTAAACTACAATTTGCAAGCAAATGTGATTCCATTTATTTTGTGCTCAGTTAGAATCAGGTCTTTCTTGCTAACACTGGTGTATGTTAACATAACAAAGTAAAAAAGGATTATGGGATCATTAGAATTCTGCACAGTGTCACAAATGTCCTCATATTTCTTGGACTTAATAATGTATTTTAATTTACTATTAATTAATAAGTTAATTATTACAACACTAACATTAACATACATATCTCACCTAGAGATTGTATATGTTTGTATGTGTGCAGTTGCAGTCTCCCTATATAGTCAACATATCCTACGTGTCTTATGTTGTAGATTTTATATTTCTGCTGTAAGCTTTAAAAGATGAAAACATCTGCACAATATATCTACATGTAATGGTCTTTCTGTTGTCATCCAAATTCTGCTACTGTTGCTTGCTGGAATTAGTTTCCCAGCTTTCGCGTAACAGTAAGTCGGAGCAGTGGCCGGATTCAGTTTTTCCAAATGTAGAAATTTGATCGATAGGTAGACGGACGGATAATTTGCTGTCTTGTATGCATGCTTGCTTTAAAGGCCAGCAAATCTGAACAGATTCATAGCCATTTACGATGAATATTTTTTAAGAGAACAGCCTATAAAAAGTCTTGGAGTTGAAGGCGAAGCCATTTGGGGGCTATTGAAATAGTTAAAAATAGGCCATACCCAAATCAGATTCCAACAAGAATAGGATAACAAGCTAAGTGAGGTGGAAACCCTAGAAAAAAAATTTGAAAACTTTTATAGCACAGTCAGGAAACTGTTGTCACCTGGGACCAGTAAATTCCAAAAGAAGGCAGGCCAGAATAGAAGCAGAGAGTGTGGAAAAGCAACACACATTTCCAGAGGTGTGAAAAATTGGCCAATGAGGGAAAATATGTGGGAGAGGCAGGTGATTTGAGTCGGCAAAAAGGCTGTGTCTCCCTGCCACCAATCCAGGGCATACATCCAGCCCCTGGGAAGTGCCACTGCACTTAGCCTGGGATCTGTGTCACTCCAAGAGATGTTTTTCCTCGTCATCTTGTTTGACACACAAACACTCCTCTTCCCCGCCACTCCACTTGCCTGCTCCCTTCTCTATTCAACAAATGCCAGCTAATTCCTGAACAAACTCCACTATTTGCCTTCGCACAGCCTTCCGCCACAGTTCCCCCTCTGCAGGCAACATGACCCACAAGAGGTTTGAAGTGCCATGTTGACAAATCTTGCCGCCTGCCTGAACCAGGAGGGGAGGAGGGGACCGAAACCCAAGAGTTCCCCAGTGTCCAAATAAGGCCAATTTCTCTAAGCCCCAAATGTTAAGAACATAGGAATACACACTTGCAGTTCCTGTATCTTTTGCTGCAGCTCCTGCTCCACCTGGGGCAGGAAGGTAAATTGGTCCGTTCCTGCATTTATACAATTCATTCTCCAACTCTCAAAACACACAGAGGCCAGACCGCACAATCTACCCACAAGTAGTTAGGATCAGCAGGCGTGGCTGATGCAATACAAATATAAGGAACTAAAGAGGGCCTAAAGGAAGAAACAACTGCCCAAAAGCCACCTGATTTGGGGAGTGCAAAGAGTAAAAATGTGCGACAATATTTTTTTTATAAATGCACCACTTCATCATTAGTGCTTAGTATTTTCTACCTGCTACCAGCCATGTGCCCTTTTTCAAAAACTGGCAACCCAGTTTTGTCTCCTGATGCTCTGAGAAAAAGAAAGCTGCCTAGTTGCAGGGAAGAGAAGAAAATGCTGAATTTGAATAGTTTGCTGCCAGCCATCTGGCAGATCAAACAACATGCGGTGTGTCTGTCCGTTGCTTAGTTTCAGAAAGACTCTGCTGGATCAGAGGAAGAGGTGGGAATCTTTTCTTATTTTCTCTGGAGAGCTGTATTTTTGTAGAGGCAATGTGTGGTTCTGTAGCCTGTTGGTTGCAAGACTGAATTCATACCATTTCCAGAGCCATGCAAGAGTCTTTTGTCTCTTTCAGGAGAGAAGGAAATGGACAAGAGGAGAGGAGTAGGAGAGAGGGAAGGAGAGGAAGTGGAGAAGAGGAGAGAGAAGAGGGGAGAGGAAAAGAGGAAAAGGGAGGAGAAGGAAGCAGAGAGGGGAAAGGAGAGAGATAAATATATAGAATGCTATGCAGGGGTGGGTTTCTCGCCCCGTTCCAACCGGTTCGGTTGGAACAGGGCCGGCGGCGTCCTCATGCACGCGCGCAGTGCACGCATGCGTACTAGCGTCTGTGCGATGCT